AAACTGTTTCATTCTCAATATTATTCCAATTCTTTTTGGCACTGTGTGTACTGATTTTTTAATCAAGGCGTAGGTAGTAAATAAGTAGTATTTTAAGATAAGCTATCATTAAAAGCCCCTAATAGAGCTGGGTGCAATGGTGCTTGACTATAATCTCAGCAGCACAGAAAGTGGAAGCAGGATTGGAAGTTCTTAGCCAGCGTCAGCAACTTAGCAAGATCCTGTCTCTAAATAAAAAAATTAAAAGGGATAGGGATGCAGCTCAGTGGCTAATCATCCTGGGTTCAATCCCCAGTATATACACAACCCCCCAAGGGGCAGGGGGATCACTCTTAAAGCCACTTCACACCACAAAAACTATAAACATCTCTGAAAGCATGTTCATTTTTCCTAGTCTGTGACCAGCGTCACACCTAGGTTTTTCTGCATGGCACCTACTCCTGTATCAAGTTCATGTTCCTCGATTTATACCTTACCTAAAGATAGACAGAAATACAAGCAAATGCAGGTCATCTTCTAATAAGTCCCAGAATCTAGGCATTCTTGTGATTTATACAAATTGAATTACCTACTATTCAAAACCTAAATGGATCCAGAAGCTGAAAAGGGAAAGGATATTGTAACATACAGGAAGGCAGAGGTGATCATAACAAAATTTACCCAAACCATCTTGATCCAGATGAAGGACTCCCTTCACCTTGCTGTATGAATTAGTAACAGGGATAATTTCCTGGCTTTTAGTTATAGCTCCCTCTAGTGGCTATGTGACTTTTGGACACCCAGGGGCACTTGATGGCTGAGCTATATCTACAACCCAGCTGCTTAGGGCTTCACTTAGTTGCTGAGATTGCCCTCAAAAACTTGCAAGCCTCCTGCCTTAGCCTCTGAGCCACTGGGATTACAGGCATGTGCCACCATGCCCGGCAATTTCTATCATTTATTCCAAAGGGGTGTGGAACAGGACATTGTAAAAAAAAAAAAAAAATCTAGACACTTTAGTATCCCTTTTCAGTCTATGTGGTAGGATTTAGTATTCAACAGAGGTTCAATTTCCAACATCTCATCATGGTGATAGGGTCTAATCATAGCCAACAACTGATACTTGGGTGATGACAACTCAAATCAACCCAGTGTTTATCATCTCCTTTGTAAAAAGGTTCAATGCTCACCCCCCACACACACACAGTTGTAAAGGAGGCTATTTCTATCTCTGAAGTTGAAATTATTTCTCAGATGAAACCACCTGAGCTTGTGGATTCATCCATTTTGCTTATCTTAAACGTAACCTTATGGCAGGCACACTAAGTAACAACAGTGAGACCCTGTCTCAAAATACAGAACTGGGGATATAGCTCTGTTGTCAAGTGTTCCTGGGTTCAATTCCTGGCACCAAAAACAATAACAGTAATCTTATGTAAAGGTATTTGTTTCTCTCCCTAAAAAACCCAGTCTAACACCTGTTAAAATGTAAATTGGGGGCTGGGGATGTGGCTCAAGTGGTAACGCGCTACCCTGGCATGAATGCGGCCAGGGTTCGATCCTCAGCACCACATACAAAAACAAAGATGTTGTGTCTGCCGAAAACTAAAAAATAAATATTAAAAAATTCTCTCTTAAAAAAAATAAAATGTAAATTGGCCCAAAAGCTTGGGAGGCTGAGACAGGAGGATTGTGAGTTCAAAGTCAGCCTCAGCAACAGCAAGGCGCTAAGCAACTCAGCGAGAATCTTGTTTCCAAGTAAAATACAAAATAGGGATGGTGATGTGGCTCAGTGGGTGAGTGCCCTTGAATTCAACCACCTGTAATGCCCCCCCCCCACAATTCTTTTCAGGCTGGGGGTGTAGCTCAGTGGTAAAGCACTTGCCTAGTATTTTCAAGGCCCTGGTTCCATTCTCCTAGCATCCCTGCCATAAGTAAATTGGGCTGTGGGTACAGCTTGCTGAGTGGTTATGCTGCTTGCCCACAGTATGTAACAAACATGTGGCTCTGGGTTCAATGCTCACCACCACCACCACTCACACACACACACACACACAGTTGTAAATGAGGCTATTTCTACCTCTGAAGTTAAAATTATTTCTGAAAAATCACTTCAACAAAAACTTCAATTTATTTTGTGTACTATTGAAATACTATGTGATCTTTCCCTTGATTACTACACACACAACTCAGGGTTATCAAGTAGAGCCTTCAAATCTAACATGCAGTAGTCCAAAGTTATCAATCACAGAAGTTCTGGTTTAAGTATACTGTAACTTCTTAGGTCTATGTTTAAAGCACGTTATTTTGCAAACCTTACTATTTATTCAACAATCCCAACAGATGCAATAGGCAGATTTTTCCTTACAATCTCTACTTCATGCCAATTTTAACCTTTCCCATAGGATCAGAATGATTAATGTCAATGCACCTTGTAAGTATTAAAATAGAAACAATTACCTCAAAACAACAGAGTATTATATTATACTGTGTACTTTGGATGGATGAATATTTAATAGTATAAAATTGTGAGCCTACTGTAGCAACAGAATAGAAATGTAGTCATACCTTTTCTTCTGTTATCTGCTTCAGCCTAAAATAACGAGAAACTGAAATCTCAATTAAGGAACCAAACAGGCTGATTTTCACTCACACCCCAAACTATACACCGGAGCATTAAACCTGTGTGTTTTAAGACAGTTCTCCAATCCCTTATCCAAACTTGAGAGCTGTCTGTTCTGAGTTCTAGCTGTCTGTACTTTTGTAAAAGGTATATTATATGTACTGTTACATAATGCCCTAGGCAAAGACTGGCGACTGCGTGATGATTAATCGAAGTACATGAATTATTTCTGCAGGAAAAAATGCTTAGTCACACTAAGTACAAAAGGCAGGCATCAATTCTTGTCAGCTTTTACATTCTACTAGATCAACAAAATTTTTATTCAGGTTAAGATTTCAAAATAGTGGATAAGAGATTGTGAATCTGTTTTCTGCCTTTGTATTCACAGTGATAAAAATAAGGTAAGCCAAAAAATGGTTACAACAGAACTTCAGTCTAATACTTTCTGACCTTTTAATACTATTTATGGTATACATACATATATATAACTTGTTTCATTTGTAATTACAAACTTCAGATACAAAGCAAAAAGTCACACATAAGAAATTCACCTTGACCACAGAAACCTGAAAATAGCACCAGCCCTAATGAAAACATTAGACAAAATTGAGAAAAGTTGAGGTTCTAGAATTAATCATATTGAACTCAAGCACTAAAATGGGTTGATTTATGAACATTTGAAATTTATTTAAAGTATAAAACTTAGGGAAAACATTTTAAGTGAGGGAAATATTCACATTCCAAACACCAAGTTAAAAAATATTAGCTTTCAAAATATAATTCAGATCCCAAACAATTAGGAATCAGAAAATTGGTCTTACCTTTTGTTTCCAGTAGGATGTGGGCTGAACAGCAAGGTAGGTTATTCAATCTGATGTTATGAATAGTAATTGCTTCTTAAAGTGCTTTCTTGGTTAGAAAATAAACTATTTATAGATTCCTTACAATATTATAAGGGGACACAGAAGGGAAAAATTCAAGGTAGCCTTTGTAGTTCCAAGAGGGTGTGACTTTCTTCTAATTGCCAATATTGGTAGAGGGTCATTTCCTAGGACTGACTAAAGATAACATTTCTAGTTTCTGTCTGGTCACTGAACTACATAGCCTGTGCTCCTCTACCTTTCAAAGTATGCATTAAGTCCTCTCAAATCTTTATTCTTAAGCCTATTTAACAAAGATCACCTTTCTATCTCATTTCAATCTTGGGTTGAACTACTAAAAATTTTAGTACAGCCTCTCATTTAACTTAATAGACAACCTTGAGGAAAGGCCATTTCCATTTTGGTCCTATTTCCAAACATTCGGTGAACATAAACGAAACCAGGTTTGTACAAGTGTAGAAGTCTTATCTATTAATAGTATTCTGCACATGAGACTTAAAACTTCAAAAAGCATGGCATGTATAATTTTTCAGAGTGTTAAAATAGAAAATCTAAAATTTTGGCTCATATTTTGAATTCCTACATTACTACTCAATGTAATGAATCTACAAGGAATATTTTTCAAGTAAAATTCTTATTTTGAACCTACTCCTTTCAATCAGATAATTACATGTGACCTTATACAAATCTCTTTTGCCCATTTCTTCCACTACAAAGATTATGCCTGGCTTTCTGTTTTAAATTGTATCACCTGAATAGTCCTTTTTAATTCATCTTGCAACTATGATTAGCACCCAAGGGAAAAGTTAAAAGATCTAGCCATTTCTTTTGGATTGAGAAAAGAGTGGTTTCTTGGTAACTATGAGGAAATCACAAGACCAATAATTTTAAGTAAAACTTCCCTTCCTATACCCAAGAAAGCTGAAACTTTAACATCAAGGGGCTCTTTAGTAAAAGTATTTAAAAAGCCCAAAACTTAGAGAATTCTAAAGTTTGGAGACAGAACAAACTATGGTCAAGAAAGGTTTACAGGTGAAGATTCACTCAAATTAGCAGATAAATCCTTTAGTGCACTGTTCACATCTCAAAAAGGAAAGTCATTTTGTTGAGTTCTAATACAACTGTGTTAAAGTTAACATGTACTACTCATTAATTTTAAGATAAGTCTCATTGAGAATCTCAAAGGCTATCTCCAAGCTGATATTTATCAACCAACCAATTTTACACAAACCTGTGTTGTCTAAATGGTCACCAAAATAAGCAGTATCTAAGTTTTAAACCATTTTAGCAAAGTATGCAAAACATCTTTTTAGAGACTAGATCATAGCCTTAATACATAAATTTCTCCCTTATTGTCCCCTTAAGACTGTTACATAAATTAAGATAGCCAATACTATTGAGATAGCCTCAAGAACTTTTAATTTACTAACATAAACACAAGAGTCAGAATCTTATTAATTTAAGAATTAACTGATAAGAGTTAAAATCTTACATGAAGAGGAAAAAGGACAACCATGCATAGTTTTTTAAAAAATGTTTATTTTTTTTCAAAGAAAAACGGCAATAGCCAATTGGAACCTACTTATTCTTCAACTCCAATTTTGTTTTCTTTAAATTTAGAAGTGACTTACTGATTTACTATTTTAAACAAACCCCCCCTTTCCCCTTTCAATGTTTACCATCTACTCGTGCTGAATCCTTCCAAGGAGATTGCTCCAGCGTATATCTCCAGGTCCTCGCTTTGCTCCTTTTACCAAAAAATGCAAAACACAATTCCATCGTGCATCTTAAGGGCTCCAATCGTCAAAAATAGGAAAAAAAAAAACCTTTGGAATAGCCAATTAAGTTGAATAAAAAATCCACACGAATGCGGTTTGGTTGGGGCAGGAATCCACTCCTATGTTCCTGGTAATCTGATCCCGCTCCATGAATCCTTGTAATTCATCCTCCCTATCCTATCCACATTATGATTTGAATCCAATGATCCAGCTCCAAGGATTGGGATCCAGTGAGCCCTCTCCAATCCAAACCTTTATAACCAGCAAAACCAAAAAAGAGGAGGCAAAATGTTAGATACTGTAATCAAAAAAGGTTTCTGGGGAATGATGAGTTATGTCTGTCATCATTTTAACAGATGTACATCAATAACTATCAAATTCCCCAAAACAAGTTTCTGAATGGTGTTCAGATAAATTTTAGAAACTTAATCATCATAGAGACTAATTGGAAGAAGCATTTTATATTTACAGTTCAACTGATAATGCCAACACTTGTTACTGTACAGCGTATTACAGGTTTTGTGGTTGCAAAAAGTTATGTAGTTGAAAAGTTTACTGATATTGTTACCCACCTAAACTAAACTAAATCTAACGCTCCCATCTGCAATTTAATTTGTAAATTAAAGTGTCTTAAACATGAGTCAATTATGAATATTAGTTTAAAGGGGAAGGTGAGACTTAAAAGTACTCCCAACTAGATTATCTACACCAATACATTGGAATTCTATATTTTGCTTTCATTTTGTCTTAAAAAAAATGAAATAGCAACGCTCTTATCAGTCACACAGAGGACATGCAGATTTAGCAGTATTGATATTATACTCTATCTTGTTGGAATTAAAGACACCCTGTACCCACATGTACACCAACAGCAGGTCACACATTAACAGTTGTAACTAAGCACTGTGACAAATTAGCCAGTTCTTCCCACATTAGTCCCTATTAAAACAAAAAAGGGGGGGAAGGGAGCAAAATAAATTGTTACAAAATGGGCGATGTAATTTTGCCACAATTGCCAAGGTTTAAAGAGCAAAGCAATTGTAGCTAAAGATACCTGCATCAGATGTTTGCAAGTTTTGAGATATATATATATATATAAAAAAATCATTTTTAACCCTTGCCTTTTAGTATAAGGTCAATACTGCCAATTTCATCTGTGACAATAGCACTTGGAGTCATACCATTGCCTCCATTATTGATCTGATCCTCCTCAATCCTCCTTTTGACAATCCTAAAATGATTGAAATGTGCTCCACAATCCTTAATCCAAAGCATTCTTAATCCATCTCTTCAGATATGTCTACAGAAAGACACATGAAAAGCAAGATAAACATAAGAACTTCCCCAGGTGAGATAACCACAAACACCCCCCCACATCCCAGTTCACACAAACCAGAGCAGAATAGACATTTACACAATATCACAGTCTGAAGAGCATGGAGAGTTAACTAAATTTAAACAATCCTGTCTATGACATCACTTAAAATACAATTTATCAAAGACATGAGGGGAATGTAGATGTTAGGAGCAAGGGGATATTACACAAGAATGCAATTCAACACTTTAGCCCATTCTGAACAAAACAGTTTGAATTAAAAAATGAAAAGATTGTACTGAGTAAAGGAAAACTGTATACAACATGGGTGCTACAAAAAGTGTCACCAATCATCTTATGTACGAGAGCGAGATCTGCTATGACGGGGAGAATAGCGTGGTGATCCTCTGCTTCTCCTTGGGGAGTAACTGCGACTCCTGCTGTTGCTTCTGCTACGGCTTCTGCTACGACTACGGCTTCGAGATCGAGATCTTCCATAACTTGGACTTCTGGGCCCATCAACTTTAACCCGGATGTAGGCAGTTTCTCCCTATTGGATAGACAGAACTTTCCATTGAAAGATCTAAGCTTTCACCTATCTTCAGGCATGCTGATTGAATACAAAGTAACTAAAACCAGATATCTGGTAATTTAGGTGGACGCCTTTGCCTGAATCCTTACCTTCAAATTCCACTGTTAAGACCACTGTATCCAATCTGGCCAAATAAAAGAATAAGTGTATAACCTACCTCATGAGATCTAAACTTAGTGTTATCCAGTTTTCGAACTGCATAGGTCATATCTTCTTTCCGTACAAACTCCACGACACCAGTGCCATCTCGGTAAACATCAGCATAACATACATCACCTGCCTCACGCATGTGATCCTTTAAATCCTGCCAGCTTCCACTTGGAGGCAGTCCTGAAAAAACGATTTTTCCCTTAAAACCAATTACCCTAAGTTTTACGTTAAAACTTATAACACATATTAGAACAAAGATTACTTAAAAATGCTTAATGATTGTACTTAAGTGATTCCAGGTAAAGAGCTGGTAAGATTCTGAGATCCAGAGTCCAAATTTATTTGTAAAGGATCTTCATATTCTAGAACCGCAACCTAATTTGGGCAAATCACCACCACAGTAATCTTTATTTACTAAATTCACCCAAAAACCGAAATAATTTTAAGGCCCAGAATGAACAACGAGCAACTGTTAAACCGGCCATGCAAAGAAAATATCTTAAGTGATTCCTGTCCCTTCCCAACCCACAAGAGTGACATAAGCTCACCAGAGACAACCACTCTGTTTTCAGAACGCCTAGATGGGGGGCCATAGCGGCCTCGGGGAGCTCCGCCACCTCCACCCCCGCCGCCGCCTCGGCCTGTACCACGGCCGCTTCGAGGAAACTCCACCCGCAGACGGTATCCATCGTAATCATAGCCGTCGCGACCATATACCGCGTCTTCCGCATCCCTGCATGATCACAGAAGGCAAAAAGGATGAGAAAAGAGACCCGCGGAAAAAAACTCACTCTGTGGGGAATGAGAGGACCCCGGCACATGCGCACCCACCGTGGCAGAGCCCACATGCGCTGCATAATAGGACCGGCCCCTCCCCCACCCAGAAACACGCTAGGCGCCCGACCACTACACAGTCCTCGGCGCCTCAGTTTCCCGTTCCGGGCCTGCGCGTGAGCTCTGGGGGCGTCCGAGGCACCCAGCCACCAGGGACACCACACCGACTCGGCTCCGTGCTCGACTTCTGCAGGGGCGATATCGTGTCGCCCCAGCCTAAAAGCCCCTCCTTCCCCATTATGTTAAGGCCTCGGAGCCTTTCCCCAACTACTCCGACCTATTTCCTCAAGGCTGCAAGCCCCACGCTGCCTCACCGCGGGTCCTCGAACTCAACGAAGGCGAAGGGCGGTCCTCCACGGCGATTCTTGAGATCGATGTCGCGGATAGCGCCGTATTTGTAAAACACGTCCTCAATGTCCTTGGTCCGGATGTCTGGAGGTAAGTTACCCACGTAGATGCGGCAGTCGTTGTTCCCTGCAGGACCACGAATCACACCACCTCCCGACATGGCGGCGACGAAAAGCGCGGACTCGAGAACAGGCCTTCCCACCAAGCCTAGCGCACGGCAGAACGAGCCCGCAGCGGCACCACGTCTCCCGCGGCCCCTCCAAAATGGCGCCTTTATCAGCTCGGCGCACGGATATGGGGGGAGGGAGGAAGAGAAGCGGGAGGAAGCAGCTATTCGACCTCAATACGCACGCGCAAGAGCGTAACGGGTATCGGCGATACGCTCACGCACGCGCAACGTCACCCTCCGCACGAAGGGGAAAAAGTCCCCCGCGTTCCCGGCTTGCGGAGCGATTGGTTATTGGACTGAGCAGCCGTTTGTTGAAAATTATATACAGAAGCCTCGTGAAAGGTGTAATTAATCCCCGCCGGATCTTCAAGCAAGCCAGTTTCCCCAGGAGTGGTCCTCTTTGAAAGCCAATCTGCTCTCGGAAAGGCCTAGGTGAAACCTAGCCTGTAATCTCGTCCCACCATGCTTCGCGACATTAACGGTCTTTGGCGGGAAAGGCTCCGGGGGCGGGACCAAAGGGGGAGGGACCGGGCGGTTGCTCCGGAAACCAGGGTATCTTCGGATGTTTCTTCTAGTCCAGTAGCCGGGTTGTAAGTGATTCCATCGAAAACCCGATCGGAGCCGTACCTTGCCGCCCTTTCTGCGAATAGGTGGTGGTTACTTACACAGGAGTCCAGTTTAGATTTCTTTAAAAAATACACCGCTGATCCAACTTCGATTCAGAATTCATACGGCTCAGTTCAGCCGTCTTTCTAGTGGCAGTGGGTCGTACCCTGATTAGTCACTGGTGGCACTAACTAATCATACCGCCCTTCAGGACCCCAGACCCTGCTTCTCTCGGTAATTGTTTCTCGTTAATTGCCTGTTGCTGGTCCTAGCGCAGAGAAGTTTGGTGAATGCTTGCCCAGTGAGTTGTGCTTGCTGTCTTCCTCTTTTCTTTTCCTTTTTTTTTTTTTAAAGAGAGTGAGGAGAGAGAGAGAATTTTTAATATTTATTTTTTATTTTTTTTTGGCGGACACAACATCTTTGTTTGTATGTGGTGCTGAGGATCGAACCTGAACCGCATGCATGCCAGGTGAACACTCTACCGCTTGAGCCTCATCCCCAGCCCCTGTCTTCCTCTTTTCAAAGAACACAGAAAGAAAAGGGTGTGTGTGTGAATTCTGAAATTTTTTCCTTTTTCAAAGGTTTCCCCTAAAACTTATATACAAGGGGATGCAGAAAGATCCTAAGTTCGAGGCCTGCCTCGCAACGTAGCGAGACCCTGTGTCGAAAAATAAAAAAAGAGCTGAAGGTACAGCTTGGTGGTACACCAAGTGCTCCTGGCCCCAATATGACGGGAGGAGGGAGAGTGGGAAAAGAAGGAAGGAAGCTTATATACAAGAGTTTTCAAATGAACAACATGGATGTTTGAGAACTGTTACCATGGCACAGAACTGTGATCTTGTTTGCATTCTGGCTTAGGGAAATAAGAACTTTGCCTTTCTTCCAGAAATGTCTGAAATGTGGAATTTTATATGAAATTATGTGTTTGTTTCATGCAGCGCTGGGGATTGGACCCAGGTCCTCGTGCATGAAATTGTGGGATTTTTAAATGTTGGTATAATTAATTAAATTAATAATAAAATCCTGTAATTTTAAGTATACTAAAACAGATCTGCTCCTTAAGATGATATTTTTCATATTGGTATTTACTTACAACTGCCAGTCTCCCCAAGCATGTGAATCAGCTTACAGAGATAACACAAAAAGTTAAAACTTGTTGAAGAAATCAGGAGAAAGGGGAAATGGGGTGGAGGGGATTTATTAAAATCTTTTGACTTCCTCTATAGAGATGGACTGCAAATTTGACTATTGTTATCCCAGAAGTAATAGTAAAGAAGGGAACATGAGTGTATTCAAAATACAAAGTGACTTTGAAGTTAAATATGTTTTCAGGAGAATATATTTTCTATCCTTTTTTTTGGCCGGGTGGTGGGGGGTACCTGGGATTGAACTCAGAGGCACTTGACTCAAGTCACTGAGCCACACCCCAGACTTTTTTTTTTTTTTTTTAAATAAGTCAGGGTTCACTAAATTGCTGGGGCCCTCTCTAAGTTACTGAGGCTGGCTTGGAACTCTATCCTCCTGCCTCAGCCTCTTGAGTTTCTGGGATTACAGATGTGAATGACTGTACAGGACTCCAAGAAGACCATATTTTCTTAATTCTAAAACTGTTTAAAATGTATTTTACAATTATATCGCAGTGACGCCAAAATACAAATTCAAATTTGAAATGAGCAGGGATACTTAATATTGGGTCTGGATCCTCAACAGCCCTGTAGAAGCCCTTGGATAATCCCTGAACTCTGTACTGATCTCCAAAATTATATGTATGTGCTGATGTACTTTATCCTGGAAAGAGGATTTGAAAATTTAATCAGCTCTTTAAAGAGATCTATAGATCTCTGAAAGGGACCCTTGAAAATTTTAGGGGAAGGATAGATTATCTACCCTTCAGACCATCCTTAAGTGATATTTATGAGGCTGGACTTTAAAAAAAGGGCGGGGATGGGGGGGACTGGGGTTGTGGCTCAGTGGTGGAGCACTTGCCTACTATGTGTGAGGCACTGGGTTGATTCTAAGCAATGCATATAAATAAATTAATAAGATAAAAAGATCTATTCACGTTTTATACACACACGAGCACATGCAAACACACACAATTTCTTAAAATATAAGAAGCTGCCAAAAAAAAAAAAAAGAGAGAGAAAGACACTATTTCAATAATCATTCACATTCTAGCACTGTCCCATTCAGTTAGTGGCAGAAAAGATGAGATTTTAAAAAACAGTTTTAGCCACTCTTGTGTTGATTCCTTCATTCAGCGGTTACTTGCTAGGCACATTTTCTTTCTTTTTTTTTTTTAATCTTTTAATTGAGATTGGATATCTTCAGACTCCTTTTGATTCATGTTAAATCAATTATAACTGAAGTGATTTAAACAGGGTTGCTTTTGATTTGAAGCTATTTTCATTCCAGAAAAATAAAGAGAATCATGAATTCACTGTGATAAATTCTTTTCTAATTTAATGCATTCACTTATTATTTTGTTCACTTCAGAGGGATAACTTTATAATAGAGTAAGTAGGATATTCTTGTTTCTCTATTTGTGTCTCTATTTGAATGTAATGGTAGGATAGGCCCTGGAGTGGACAGTGAGGTCATTTGTGGCAGGAACAGTGGCTCTTTATCAGGGTCTCCCAGGATGGTATTAGCTTGATAATTATTATAGTTAAGAATGTGATTTTATTGCTATCAGTACCTCAGAGTTGATTAACATGCTTGTAATCCAGCAACTTTGGAGGCAGGAGGATCCAAAGGTCAAGGCCAACTTCAGCAGCTTAATGAGAACCTAAACAACTTATACCCTGTCTCAAAAAATAAAAAGGGCTGGGACCAACCAACCTCAGAAACATAGTGAGGACCTAAGCAACTTAGCAAGGCCCTGTCTTAAAAAATAAAAAGGGCTGGGATGTGATTCAGTGACAAAGCACCCCTGGGTTAAAAAAAAAAAAAAAAAAAGTGTTGAAAGCAGATAAACTGGGAATCAGAACAAAATGAGGTGAATCATTTTGAGGGATATTTTATTAAGATCATGGTGTGAGGCCCCAAAGCAATATAGCTCTCCAAGACAGAAAAACTAGTGCTCCATGGATTTTGTGTCTGTTTCCTGGACAACACTGGGTAAAACTGGCAATTCTCATTCCACAGACTAATCTACATACTTTCTCTAAAGAGTGTACTAGATGATTGTTTGGGTTTTTACCAACTGAACTGCAGACACTTCCAGTTTTGCTTCCTGAGAATGCATTCACCATTAGAGTTTGGGCAGGAAGGGGGTTCTATACTCCTCAGTTATACCATGCACAAGCAGTTTTATGGATTGCTCCACAACCAACTTAATTATAAGATTTTAGGAGGTTTATTCTCAGAAGCTACCTTATTTTCAACATTGTTGCTAATTATGAAAAGTTACTTCCCCCAAAGGAAACATTTAAAATGCTTTCCATTCTGTCTAGTATTTACTAGAGTCTGCACCATACTTTACTCTGGAAATGATTACTTGAGGCTGGGTGAGGGGTGGAGTTCAAAGAGTTATTTATTGTAAAGGTTGAAATCACAAGACGCAGTTTTCCAGCAATTTGCTTAACCCTGAAACCTTTATACTTGGGGTGATAATTATACAACTCTGAATATACTAAAAAAATCAATGAATTGTATACTTAAAACAAGTAATTGTAAATTATAACTCAATAAAACTTTTTTGAAAATGTCTGTATCTCTACAATCAGCCAAATTGCTTCCCACTACCATTCCTACAAAGGCATTACTGGGGATACACTGAAATATGGGTTTTCAAATTTGGAAATGCTGTTTTCAACTTTTTTTTTTTTTTTAATGCCAGGATTGAATCCAGGGGTGCTTAACCACTGAGCCACATCCCAGTCATTTTTTATATTTTATTTAGAGAACAGGTTCTTGCCGAGTTGCTGAAGGTGGCTTTGAACTTGAAATACTCCTGTCTCAGCTTCCCAAGCAATTGGGATTACAGGCATGTACCTATTATGCTCGAATTCGGGACCCCCAAAAGACCACCAGAGATCAAGATCAATGTAAGCAGCAAAGAGGTGTTTATTGCGAGCTACCTTGGTCCTCCGCGCATGTACACAGCAACTGGTGATGCTGAAAGGCCTGAGCCCAAGGTTTGCAGCTGTATTATATAGTCTTTGGGGAAGGCAAGGGACTTCACATACATCCTAGCATCTCTTAGCAAATCATCACACACCACGGGAAAATCATAAAACAACTCTAAAACATGATTAGCACAGTCACTGGCTAATGAACATGTTGGGTAAGGGTGATTGGTTAGTACAAGAGGGGGATTCGTTTGAACTGATTGGTTTAATCCATGAGGAGAGTACTTGCTGAACTACATGGTTTCCCAACAAGTTATCAACCACCATAAGCTACTGGGAGGGTCATCTGACATCCCAGGTATTTTCCCTGTCTCATGCTGATTGGGGGTTGCTAGGGGGTTGCTATGGATCCTCACCTAGCCTGACTGAGTCTGGGACACCTGGCTCTGAAGATCTCTCCTA